TGGAGAAAATATAAGATATTATTAATAACTATCAAAATAATTTGAAAATGTTGGAAAATGAGCAATTAATCTATGGGAAATTTTAAAAAGCTAAATACATTTCATTATACAGATGATGTCAAAAAGATTTTATTCCTAAGAATTTATAGTAAAAAAAACTCAGAAAAAAACTTTGAAATACATATTTTTTAAGATTATAATAAGAGAATGAATTTCCTATAAATTATACAAGCCAATATAGCCTTGATGACAAAACAACAACAAACAGGCCAGAGAGATCAAGAGAAGTAGAGAAATGAAGATTATTTTTTAATAATAATCAGTAAGACTGATGCAAGATGCTAAACAAAATAAAAGCAAGTGGACACCAGAAAAATACTACATGGTAATCTAGCTGGGGTTAAGTTTAGGAATGTATGCTTAGTTCATTGTTGAGAATCTGAATTATCTCTTTCAAGATTAAAGACAAACATAAATTTTTTAACCAATATAGAAAATAAAATAGATATTCAACAATCATTCACAATAAATTCTCTTCAGAAATTGATCAGACATGGTGAATTTTTTATTTTGTTAACAGTACTCAACAACAAAAGACAACCTAGAAAACAAAATTATAGTAAATATACACTACACAACCACACACAAATACATCCACACCTGCACACATATAAACTAACTACAAAGAAAATAAGAAAAAAAATTATGAACTAGAAGAAAATATGTGGAGTACATTGCATGTAGGAGTATATATGCAGTAGATATGAGTAGATATGTAGTAGAAAGAGTTCTAATAAGTGATTAGAATAAGACAAAAAGCTTCTACGAAAAAAACATGAAAATCTACGAAACACAGAAATTCAGTATTAATAGCAACTAGTTATGCAGCACAAAGACTGATTAAGTATTAATGATACAGGTTTTATAAAGACTATAAATATCCTTGCGTGTATTTGATGACAAATGGATTAATAAATTGCTTTTGTGGGAGCATGGGATTATCAGAAAACCAAGAGAGGAAGAATAATGCATGAATGGGTTTTGGAATGTTTCAGTGATTTTCTGTATCTATTCTGGTTATGCCTTGCTGCTGTTACTGAATAACACTGCTTGATGCTCAATTTTATACCAATCTTGCATTCCTGGATAAACCCCACTTGGTCCTGAACTATAATTTTTATATGTTGTTGGATTTGTTTTGGCTAATCTTCTGTTAAAGATTCTGGGGTCTATGCTCCTGAGGTTCATTGATCTGTAGCTTTCTCGTCTTGCACTCATTCTCTGCTTGATATTTATATAAGCACGGAGCTCATAATATAGGTGTGGAAATGTTCCCTTCCTTTCCATTATCTGAAAGAGTTTTATTAGGATTGCTTTGATGTTCTCCTTAAGTATTTGGTATAATTAATCAGTCAATACATCTGAACCTGCAGAGATGCAAAGGAATGCAGTGGGGGGGAGGTAGGGAAGGAAAAATGCACACACACACATGTAAAGTTTCTTAATTAAGATTTTCTCAATCATGATGGGACCGCTGATCACATATAGCTAGCTACATGTAGCACCCCAGCAACTCCTTCCCAGCCTCACTGGCATGTACAGTTCACTATGCCTTATTAGAGTTAAGAAAACTCTGCAGGATCTCTGTTTACATAGATCCCTTCCATTCACTATTCTATTCCATCAATTCCAGATGCCTCAACTTTACTGAACTCTAATCTCTATCTCCTCACTTGAGTGAGACCATTCTCTGGGGCTTGTTTCCCACTATTTAGGCTCTATAGGGGAATCTGTCCCCTAGTGCAAACCAATAATGAACATAAGGCTCACAGCATCCATTTCCCTCTATCAGAGATCCCAGTTTTTTTAATACATGCTGTTCAATATATGTGTGCATGTTAAGTCACTTCAGTCGTGTTTGATTCTTTTTCACCCTATGGATTGTAGGCTGCCAAGCTCCTCTGTCCCATGAAATTCTCCAGGCAAGAATACTGGAGTGGGTTTCCATGCCCTCCTCCAGGGGATCTTCCAGACCCAGGGATCGATTAACTCCATCTAAATCAAATCATACATATTGACTTATTTTCTTATTATTTATTACAGAAGGGAAAGTAGTATACAATGTGTTTTTACCTGAGGTTTTCTGTATCAGTGGACCATTTCTTCACCCTGCTACACATCTCCAGGAATGTAACTAAAGATCTCCCTAAGGGAATGGATTATATTTTCTCATTTCCTTATTTTGAATTCAGTCATAAGACTTGCTTAAGCCAACAGCATACGTTGAAAGTTATAGTGTGACACTTTAACTGATCTTGTATGTTTCTATGAGAAGAACATGCTCTTCACACCTTGCTGGTCTCAGAAAATGGATGCAAGTCATGTAGAACAGAGCCTCCAGAGTTAAGACACACTAACTGGGTCCATCCTGTTTCAGGCAACATGGCCATAAATCCATGAGTGTGTTGTTGTATGTCATTATGCACAGTCCATATTTGAAAACTGAGAAGTTATGCCTCGCTTATCTTGAGAATGGAGTAGCTTCTCAAATTCTTGGGAAGTCTAATTCACAGGTGATTTGACCCAGGTAGTTTTCATATGTTTTTGAATACTTCTTTACTTTCTAGCACTATAAGATGCTTCAAGTTCATCCTGAAAAATGGTATTAGAAATCAAGATCTGGATACTGTGTATACTTGTTGCTACTGCAATCTTTGATTCTAGGCTTTCCCAGATAGAGCAAGAAAATACATAAGTGATACAAACCTGCATATAGACAGGTATGTGTAAACATTCTGTATGCAAACATTCATATCTGTATTAAGTAAAACATGAATTCATACAAATATGTCCAACACTAATATACTACCATATGGATCATTCTAGGCTCCTCCCCTGGCTTATATGTGAGCCACCTTGTCAAAGACAGAAACTTGCCTACACATGTTTCAAATAGCTATCTAAGTACTTAGGAATGTGAATGCATGATCACATGATAAGACTATTTTAGTTTTGAAAGAAACGGCAAACTGTCTTCTAAAGTGTTCAGTTTCTCGACATTATGATCTTGGCTGTAGATTTCAGAGATGTTCTTTATCAAGTCAAGGAATTAATTTCTATCACCAATTTGACAGAGATTTTTTTTTTTCTTTGATCATGAATAGGTGGATTCTTCATTGTTGTTTTGGTCAAATACTCTTTATACAGTTCTTGATATGATCACATGATTTTTTTCTAAGTATTTGATATGGTGGATTACACTAATTGACTATTCACTGGAAAGTAGGTCTCTGTTACGAAGAAGGCATTGGACATACTACACAATGATCACTTTTCTCCCATTGGCAGGTTCATAAGGAGTTACTTCTTGGATCCATACAAGAACCTGATGGGGTACCGGAAGGAAAGGCCATAAAAGCACAGAGACCCTTACAAGATTGTGATCACCTGTGTACTTCCCTGGCCTCCAACAAGGCATAAAAATTACCATTTAAATAGTTCTCTCTTTTGATGACTTCAGGGGCCTCTGCTCCAGGTAAGTAAAGTTCACTTGGGACTTTGGATGCCACTACAGATTTCTGGTTGCAGTTTGCCCTGAAACCTAAGTTCTCTGACAGATCCAATAAAAGCCACTAATTTTCAATTTGTCCAAATTCTTCTTGTAAGATTTTGAGTCACTATTTCCAAATTCTTTACATGGCAGAGCCAAGCTAAAAGCCCAAGATTAACCTTTCTACTGCTGAAGGAAGACACCATTTTACATCTGATTCTCCAGATTTAACTTATTTCCTAGAGAAAAGTTTTAGAAAGAAAGGCCCAGAGAGTTCTCACATTATCAATAACCTAATTATAGATGAAAAATAATCTTTATCTTCATTGTAGCCATTTTAGTATCAGGAATTTCACAGAAAAACATTGGTTCAGTTCAGTTCATTTCAGTCACTCAGTCGTGTCCGACTCTTTGTGACCCCATGGACTGCAGCATGCCAGGTCTCCCTGTCCATCACCAACTCCTGGAGTCTACCCAAACCCATGTCCATTGAGTGAGTGATGCCATCCAACCATCTCATCCTCTGTCATCCCCTTCTCCTCCCACCTTGAAACTTTCCCAGAATCAGGGTCTTTTCCAATGAGTCAGCTCTTCGCATCAGGTGGCCAAAGTATTGAAGTTGCAGCTTCAGCATCTTTTCTTCCAATGAATATTCAGGACTGATTTCTTTTAGGATGGACTGGTTGGATCTCCTTGCAGTCCAAGGGACTCTCAAGAGTCTTCTCCAACACCGCAGTTCAAAAGCATCAATTCTTCGGCGCTCAGCCTTCTTTATGGTCCAACTCTCACATCCATACACGACTACTGGAAAAACCATAGCTTTGACTAGACAGACCTTTGTTGGTAAAGTAATGCCTCTGCTTTTTAATATGCTGTCTAGGTTGGTCATAGATTTCCTTCAAAGGAGCAAGGGACTTTTAATTTCATAACTGCAGTCACCATCTGCAGTGATTTTGGAGCCCCCCAAAATAAAGTCTGCTACTGTTTCTATTGTTTCCCCACCTATTTGCAGTGAAGTGATGGGACTGGATGCCATGATTTATTTTTCTGAATGTTGAGTTTTACGCCAACTTTTTCACTCCCCTCTTTCATTTTCACTGAGAAGGATTGGTTACTCAGATATTTTGAGTAATATTGGATGAGGCTACAAAACTTTGTATTTCCATTAAAAGTTTGCCTTAAAATACAATTAATTTATGTTAACTTTTTGTGATTAGTAGATAGTACAAGATTTTAGATGGGAATGACATACTTTCTGAGCTTTACATTCATAGTATTAAATGTAAGATATTTTATGGAACTTATATATATATATATTTTTAGGTTGTATACTCTCTTTAAAATTAACTAATTTCCACAGTAAGCATTTTAAATGCCCATGTTTCTTTTCAAACTTTATATTCATATTCTTTGCAGATTTAAAGTATAAATGTATAATTTTCATATATATTTACTTTTGTACAGCATATCTTACAAAATATTTTTTTAAAGACCAAAATTCAAAGGATACAATAGCATGTCGATCAGATGGACTTCTCTGACGTGTTCTTTCTAACTGAGTTAACTGTTTAGCTTCTCGATTCCTTGCTGTTAATGTTGCTTTGAGATCATCTCGCTTCATTTTTACAATGGTTCCATAAGCTTTCAAAGGTTCAACTACTTTGGCTTCAAGTCTTTCAACCTCGGCTTGTCGATAATCCTGAAGTTTGGCAAACTCGTCCGCAAAGTTTTTCAGGCCCTGCTTTAAGTGCGGGGTCTCAGTAGAGGCATACACGTTGATTTCGTTCACCAGGAGGTCCGCTTTGTCTCGCAGTCGGGCGGTTTTCCGCACGTAAGCAGCAAAGATCTGGCACGGCTCTCCGAAATGTTTCTCCACATTGGTGACAGCATCTTGCAGTTGTCTGGTCTGAGCATCCCGGTTTTCCAAGCTGCGCCTCAACATGCTGCCTCGCTCACTGCTGGAGACCCCGGGCTGAGGCCCAAGGACAGGGTCTCGGCGCCCGGACGTGCGCCGGGGCGCGAGAGCCCGTCCCGCGCGCGCCCGGCACTTATATTTTATATATTAGTACAAGAGTATTGCCCTGCCAATAAAATCTATTTGTTTTATTATAGCAATTCTTGTTGTCAAATGTATTAATATATCCACTTGGCATGTGAATCCAAATTCTCAACATTTTTTATTGAACAGAATTTATGATTCCCTTCTATGTTTGATGAAATTAAGAAAAAAAATTTTCAACATGGTTCACCATCAAGGTAAAGTTATTATTTTGTGGATATGTGCATGTATGGGACGTTTAGCTGAAAATAATGTTTAAAGACTTCTATGAACGCAGGCAGTTTGGGGGAATGCTTCACCTAATTCAGGTACAAGATAACATGTAGCAGCCCTCTATGAATCAATTCTTATAGTTTCTAAGCAGTATCAAGGGATGATATTCTATACTTGTAACTGTGGAAAAAGCTTTGGTCAATGCTTGACATTGAGTAGCATTACTCAGCTTTATCTGATTATTGTTTGGAATTATATGCATTTCCTAGTTTGCTGGCACAACATGAATAAAATAAAAATAAACTTAAAATAAACTTAAATAAAAATAAAAATAAACTTAAACTTAAATAAAAATAAACTTAAAATTTGCATATAGTGTGAGTTTACTGAAATATCTGCCATAATAATGATGAAACTCTATGTTCAATACTTCCTCTTGTCTTGAATAACAAAAATTTTTCAGTTATCCAATGCAGCCATCTCTTTAGACAAATGAGTAGATGAAAATAAACCAATAACTACCTCACTTTACAAAGTACAAGTATTACTTGAAAGTTGGTAAGTGCATATATGCAAATGAGTATCTTTTGCATGGGTAACTTCTATATTAAAGAAAACCAGGGAAAATTCATGTTTTGAAATGGAGAACCACCATTTAAATTGGAGAACTCTTATTATTTAGCTAACCTATTTTGACTTGTAAAAATCACCAACATATCCAAGGACAGAAACAATATTATTTTTCTTCTTGCTTTATGCACTACCTCTCATCTACTGTTAGGATAAGCATCCAATGAATTAACACAATTTAACAAATATGCCCAGTACATTAAGTTGAATAGAAAATCTATGGCATTATACTGTTTTACAATCAGATATTAGGAAAAGATGCACACTTATGAAACACTTACTGAACAAGCTATTTCCATATATACACAAACATATATTTAGTATTACAAGTAATGCAGTAACTATAGAAATAATCTATTAATGTGTAAAGTTAAAATTGTTACTACTGTATTTATTCAGCAAGTTATATAAAAGCATGAGCAATTAGAGAAATCTCTTTCATGTTTCTGACATTCAATACATACTGCACTCCAGGTAAAACAACTTATAACTCTCCTTACAGGTCATTTAATTAGGCAGAAGGAACTTTACCTCTGATTATAGTTTGTGGAGGATTTGTAATTTGAATGCATGAAAAATGCAATGCTCTGTGGCCAATTGCTATTTAACAAGTACTATTGCTTCCTTCTATTAACTTTCTAGGTCTGGATGTACTATTGCATAGTTTATCTACCTTACACAGAAGACTTGCTGCAAAATTAGGAATTCTAGTCACCAAATGAGTGTATAAAATTAATTAGTAATTATGCAAATTTTGCAGAGTGAACTCTATATACTTCTCTTCTTCCTGAATGTTGTAATAGGGTAAATAAGCTAGTGGAACATGGGAACAGAAAGAAAATACACAAATATACTAAAGACTTTTAGACAAAAATCAACAGGGAAATTTATACTGGATAACAAAATGTTAAAACAATTTCTGTCAAAATTTAAACATTCCAGCTATCACAATTATTCGTAGCATTTTTTGAAGAAACTAAAATAATAAGAGATTATAATTGGTAGAATTACTGGAGAGACAAATCATCATAATGTGAATGATATCACTGTATATGATAAAAACAAAAATAACATAAAATTCCTAGAATCATTAATACAATTAGGTAAGATGACAGGTAAGAATAAGTATAGTAAAATACTCCATAAATGCATGAAAAGATGGTCAATATCACTTATTATTAGAGAAATGCAAGTCAAAACTACAATGAGGTATCACCTCTCACCAGTCAAGATGACAATCATCAAAAAATCTACAAATAATTGCTAGAGAGGTATAGAGAAAAGGTAACCCTCTTATACTGCTTTTGGGAATGTAAATTGATACAGTGACTAGGGAAAACAGTATGCAGGTTCCTTAAAATCTAAAAGTAGAACTACCATATGACACAGCAATCCCACTACTAGGCATATACCCTTAGGAAAGCAAAATTGAAAAAGATACATGTACCCCAGTGCTTATTGCAACACTATATACAACAGCTAGAACATGGAAGCAACCTAGATGTCCACTGACAGATGAATGGATAAAGAAGTTTTGGTACAAATATACGATGGAAAATTACTCAGACATGAAAGAAACACATTTGAGTCAGTTCTAATGAGATGGACTAACCCAGAGCCTATTATACAGAGTGAAGTAAGTCAGAAAGAGAAAGAGAAATGTTGTATACTAATGCATATATATGGAATCTAGAAAGATGGTACTAAAGAATTTTATTTGCCAGGCAGAAATGGAGAAACAGACACAGAGGGATGGGAAGGGGAGGGAGACAGGCGGGAGGTGTTTGTACAGTTTTACACTCCCACCAACAGTGTGCAAAGGCTCCATTTCTTCACATCCTTGTAAACACTTCTCATCTTTTGTTTGTTTCTTGATAAGAGCTACCTTGATAAGTATCCTATGAAGCAATATCTCATTATTGACTTGATTTTCATCTCCTTGATAATTACTAACATCAGCACCTTTTCATGTATCTGTTGGCCATTTGTACTTCTTCTTTGGAGAAATGCCTATTCAAGTCCTTAGTCCATTTTTAAATAGGATTTTAGTTTTGTGTTTGTTTGTTTTTTTAGTGAGTTGTAGTATTTTCTTATATATTTTGGACATTAACCCTCTATAAGATATATGCTTTACAGATATTTTCTCCCATTTAAAGAGCTGCCTTTTATTACTTGCTTCATTTGCCATACAAAAGTTTTTTGGTTTGATGTAGTCCCATTTGTTAAATTTTTGTTTTTGAGGTCTGTGCTTTTGGTGTCATATCCATGAAATCACTGTCAACACCAACATCATGAAACTTTCCCTCTATATGTTCTTTTAGGATTTTTACAGTTCCAGAATATACATTTAATTTTTTTACTCATTTTGAGTTGACTTTCATGTATAACATAAGACATTTCATTCCTTTTTGTGTGTGTGAATATCTTATTTTTCTAACACAAAACATTTTACTCAACAGAAACAGAATATATTGATACATTCTTTTCAGGCACACAGCAGGGAATTTTCTCCAGGATAGATCACATATTAGGTCACAAAACAAGTTTTTACAAATTTAAGGATGAAATCACACTGAGTATTTTTTCTGAACACAATAGAATGAGCCTAGAAATCGACAACAGAAGGAAAACTGGAAATTCACAATATGTGGAAATTAAACAACACACTGAGCGACAAGATTGGATCAAATAAAAAATCAAAAGCAAATTAGAAAATACCCTCAGACAGACAAAGATAAAGATATAACATAACAAATCTTATGTGATATTGATGGGAAGAGCTGACTCATTAATAAGACTCTGATGCTGGGAAAGATTGAAAGCAGGAGAAGAAGGGGATGACAGAGGGTGAGATAGTTGGATGGCATTGCCGATTCAATGGACATGAGTTTGAACAAGCTCTGGGAGATGGTGAAGGACAGGAGTGCTGCATCCATGGCATCACAAAGAGTTGGACACGACTGAGCAACTGAACAGTAACAATAGGGTGTTGAAAAGAAATTACTAAAATAAAAATTTATTACAAAAACACCTATGTTTTAGAAGAAGAAAAATCTCAAACAACCTAACTTTATACCTCAGTGAGCTAGAAAAAGAACAAATTAGCCATATATATATATATATATATATATATATATACATATATATATATATGAAAGATTCATATAAATACATTAGTGGTCCATACCCCCAAATGATATTTAAAATGTGTGTGAATCTTTTTGCTTTATGTTAAATTGAGTATGTTGTAAACATATATTGTTAGGCTGAATGCATTAATGCCTTTAACAAGTTAAAACTGTGATTGGTAGGCAAATAAGAAAGTAGCTCAGATGGTAAGGAGTCTGCGTTTAATGCAGGAGACCCATGTTTTATCCCTGGGTTGGGAAGATCCCCTGAAGGGGCTACCCACTCCAGTATTTTAGCCTGGAGAATCCCATGGGTAGACGAGCCTGGCAGGCTATAGTTTATGGTGTCACAAGCACAGACATGCATGCAAGAAATAGTATTAATGATAGATTAATGTGCGATGTTCTATAAACAATGATACCTCATACAATTCGCTGATATATTACTGCATTTTTTGAAGACATGTAAAGATAAAGAATCTACTCATTTTTAATTATATACTATATGTGTGTATATATATGTAGCATATATAGTATACATTTAACATATTACAAATATTTATATTTAATATATCTTAATTATATGAAAATTATTTCCTTAAAATGCTAGTCTAGATATTATCATGAATCATTTATTAAAACCTATAACTACAAACAACTTCTCCATTACTTTGCCTAATTAACTGCCTGATTATCTGGTTGTAGTACCACAATGTAAGAAACTATTACAATAACATCTCAATGTTATGTGAAGTGAAGTAAAGTGAAAGTCGCTCAATCATGTCCAATTTTTTGCAACCCCATGGACTATACAGTCCATGAAATCCTCCGGGCCAGAATACGTGGGAGTGGGTAGCCTTTCCCTTCTCCAGGGGATCTTCCCAAACCGGGAATTGAACCCAGATTTCCCATATTGCAGGAGGTTCTTTACCAGCTGAACCAAAAAAGGAAGCCCAAGAATACTGGAATGGCTAGCCTATCCCTTCTCCAGCAGATCTTCCCGACCCA